GCAAGGGGGTTAATATTGTTTGTGTTTGTGTGTGTATGTGTGTGTTTTCGCCATTTTAATTCTAGAGGGTTAAAACTTGTGCTAAGTGAAATAGAATGTTTATAAAATATATTTGTGCTACTTCTGTGAGATAAATTTTCCTTGACTTAAATGTTAAATACTAAATAAAGGTAAAGAAAATTAAGGAATTGATTTTTCTTTGTATGGATAGTAATGACTTTTTACATCGTTTTCTCCATGGCAGCCTCTCTGTAGATTGATAGACTTTGTATAGTTTATTAAAAGTGTTTTAAGTCAAATGAATGCTGACTGTTAATTTTAAGTCAATGTTACAGAGGATGTTCAGAGATGGAAACTAATCTGTGTGTGTGTTTTGCTTTGTTCTGTTTTACAGTGGGACTTCCCCTCTTGCATGCCTGAATGCAATGCTACACACAAACTCCCGAGGTGAAGAGGGCATCTTCTATAAGGTTCCAGGTAGAATGGGAGTGTATACATTGAAGGTAAATATTTTTGTTGAGAAGTCATTTAAAAAGAGAAGACAAGACGTGATTACATATAAATAAAATTTGAGTCAAATAGATAGAATTCTATTGTTCTTGAAGTGCTTACTTTCAGGACGAGGTAATAAGTAAAACCTATGAAAGCCGGAACCCATGTAAGGTGGAAGTCTGTCAGAGAAGGAAAACTCAAGTATTTTTCACTAAAATGAGCAATAGATAAGTGGTAAGACTACACCCTGTAAAGGCGGAAAACTTGCGAGACCTGGCAGTTCTGTCAAGTTCTGGTTCACAGGTTTCACTGTATTTTCAGCCCTGTAGCCAGTACATTTTCTACCCATAACTGTCTATAGGTAGGTTAGAGAAATAACTTTATTTTTTATTTTTTATGATCTTGAAAGAATGGAATAAAAATGACTTCACATTGACTGTTTAAAGAGCCTTCCAACATTTGGAGAATAGAGTGCTTAATGTGGAGCATACTGCCTAGATGCTTTCTCATGTAATTCTTGACTACATTTGGAGTTGTGGTTATTCATTCCTTTTTTATGGTGGAGAAAGCCAAAGTTCAGAACACTAAATTTTTTTGTCCACTGTTAGCCAGATAATGTCAGAACCAGAATATGACCCCAGATCTAAATGAACTCCCAAACCCGTATTCTTTCCACTGTAACAAACTTGCTAATTTCTGATTCTTAACAATGGGAAGGGACCTGTACCTATCAGTGTCTTTTCAATTACAAGTGGCAGAACACCCAACTCAAATAAGCTTGAGTAAAACAGAATTTATTCGGTCATGTAACTCAAAAATCTAGGGTAACCCAGCTGGGTGCAGGAGTCTCAAATGATGGCTTGGACTTCATTCTCAGACAGGTTCTTTCCTCATCATACATAACTCCATTCCCAACTCCTACTCTGTGAGTTCTATGTCTGGTGAGGAAAAAAGAAAAACCAAACCCGTTGCCGTCAAGTTGATTCCGACTCATAGCAACCCTATAGGACACAGTAGAATTGCCCCATAGGGTTTCCAGGGAGCGCCTGGTGGATTTGAACTGCTGACCTTTCGGTTAGCAGCCATAGCTCTTAACCACTGAAGAGTCCCCGGAACTAAAGCAAGAGTCTTTCAATTACTTCTGATTTGACTAAATTGGTTTGGCTTGGCTCGTGTGTCTATACTTGAATGGTCACTGTTGTCAAATATATCAAATCTTTTTGACTGGCCGGTCTTAGGTTCATGAATGCCCTTGATGGGAGGTTGAGGTTAAGCTCACTCAAGCCAGATGAATTGAGGAGAGGGGTTATACCCCAAAGGACATTCAGAGGGGTTTCATTAGCAGAAGGAGAATGAATGCTTGACAGGCGACGACAGTGTCCATGTATATGTGGGACTGTGTCCTCTCTTACTTTTTAAACTTTGAGTTGTAGTCATCAGTGTACTGTGTAGTTGTATATAACTCACTCACATTGAAAAGATTTAACGTACCTATGGTATCTCCTTTTTATATACTTTGTTGAACTTCCTGGAGTTAAGGGCTCTTTTCCCACATGGAGTTTTCTGCATTTCTTTTAGGTTTTAACTGTTCTGGTCCTTCCATAGTATTAATAACATTTATTAAATGCCTACTCTATGCTAGACGCTGTCGAGGCTCTAATGAGGAATAAACTGTGGTCCCTGATCTCATGAATCTCACATTATAGTTATTGAAATAATTGCATAGTGACAAAATGTACTTAATTTTAGGGTGTGCGTGTATGTGTGTTTGTGTGCTGAGGAGACGGTGAAGGTTTTTCAGAATAGCACAATTAAATTCATGTTTAGGAAGATAATTTAAGTAGGATATATAAGAGTATGAAGCAAGGAAACTTGCAGAAAAGGTGGTTATGGTTGTTTGGAAGAGATAACCAGGGCTTAAGCTGAGGGATGCAAGGGGTTTTAGAGAAATAAAATGTATAGCATTTGAAGTGGGTAAAAGAGGATGAAATGATTCTAAGATTTGAGACATGAGCTTTTGATCCTGGAGGGATGACAAGTTTAGGAAAAGAAGATAATTATATTTGTTTTAAGATACTAGTTGAATCTACAGGTCAGGATGTCTGGCAGGCAACTAACTATAAATGCTATTCTGCATTTTGAAGGAAAGAACAGAAGAATACAGAGTATGTATTTTAAGAACATATGTAACATAAGAGATGGCTCAGGGAGTAACGGCACTAGGACATAAATAAGCTTAAGTGCAAAGTTAAGTGTTAGTTACAAGATCAGAGTTATGGTCTTGTCTATAATGTCATATGGGTGCAAATTGTAGGGTCACATTTTGTCAGAATTATTTTTGATCTGATTATAAAAACAAATTATTTGAGAAAATAAAGTATTGAAAGAGAAAAAAGAATCATTCATAGTTGTATAATTTAGAGATAACAGTATTCACTAATGTGTTTATATGTATATATTTTTTAAAAATATATATAATTGAGTTTTTGGTGAAAGTTTACACAGCAAGTAAGGTTCCCATTTAACAATTTCCACACAAATTGTTCAGTGATATTAGTTACATTTATCACAATCTGTCAACATTCTTTTTTTTTTAAAAACAGTTTCTACATGTACAATTTAGTGACATTAATTACATTCTTTGAGTTGTACAACCATTGTCACCCCCGTTTTCTGAGTTGTTCTGCCCCAGTAACATAAATTCACTGCCCCTAATTTCCCATCTAATCTTTTGAGTTGCAGTTGTCAATTTGATTTTATATATATAGTTCTTAAAAGAGCATAATGCTCAAGGCAGACTTTTTTTTTTTTTTTTTTTTAACCAGTTAAGCTAAATTATTGTTTGGTTTGAAGAGGACTTCAGGGGACTTTTTTGGTTTAAGGTTTAAAGATTTTCTCAGGGCAGTAGGTTCAGGGGTTCATCCACCCTCCATGGCTCCAGGAAGTCTGGAGTCCATGAGAATTTGAAATTCTGTTCTGCGTTTTTCCTCTTTTGATCAGCATTCTTCTATGGAATCTTTGATCAAAACGTTAAGTAATGGTAGCCAGGCACCATCCAGTTCTTCTGATCTCATGGCAAAGGAGGCAGTTTTTCATGGAGGCGATTAGCCGCACATTCCATATCCTCCTCCTTTTCCTGACTCTCCTTCTTTCTCTGTTGCTCCAGGCAAATAGAGACCAATTGTTGTGCCTTGGATGGCCACTTGGAAGCTTTTAAGACCTCAGGCACTATGCAGTGAACTAGGAGGTAGAACAGAAGCACTAAACATGTTATTAGGCCAGTTAACTGGGATGTCCCATGAAACCATGACCCTAAACCTCCAGATCAAGGAACCACATCCCATTAGGTGTTTGGTTGTACATAAGCAATTTCAGTAGCTACTCTCTTTTTTTCTTTTTTTGTCATTGTTGTAAATATATCTATCACACAACTTTTACCAGTTCAACTTTTTGCAGGTGTTATATTCTGGAGCCCTGGTGGTTCAGTGGTTAACTGCTCCAGCTGCTAACCAAAAGGTCAGCAGTTCAAATCCACCAGCCTCTCCTTGGAAACCCTATGGGGCAGTTCTACTCTGTCCTATAGGGCCACTATAATCGACTCGACGGCATTGGGTTTGGTTTTTGGTTTGGTATATGTATGTCTTTTTGTGTACTACATAAACATGTAAATAATAACTAATATTTATTGAGCTCTTGTCATATGCCAGGAACTATTCTAAGCATTTTACATTTATTAACTCATTTGATTTCAGAATAATCTTTTGAGGTAGATACTATTATCACCCCCATTTTATAGACAGGGAAACTGAGGCATGAGAGGTTAACACTTTGACCAAGGCTGCAGAGTTAGGAAAAGATAAAGCTAGAATTCAAACCCAAGAAACCTTGATTTCCCAGTCCTTGATCTTGTAACTACCCTGTTATGTCTTTCACATACTATGTTGACAACAGGTATCCTTTCTGATCAGCATTCTCACTATTCAAGTGCAGAAACCATGTGATTTTTTTTTCTAAATGATTGCCTGTCTCTTGCTGTCCAGACTCTGAATTCATAACACATAGTGATACTTACATACATTGAATGCGTGCATACATAGCATACACACACACGTATATAATATACATGGCTGTATATACATTTTACAAAACTGTCATAACATAATTTTTTTATTCTGAACATTTCATCATTTACCTGGACTTATATCTGTCCAGTCTTTGTCTAACTTAAGCCAGTGTTTTTTTGCCTGCATGTGAATGTCATGTATCATTTGTATCTTTGGGTGTGGATGGAAACATTAGCTAATTTGACTCAAAGAAAAAGAAATGACAGGAATTCAGAAGATATTCTGCTACTGAGTTCTATAATACTAAAAATTATCAGCACAGTTAGCTTGCAACAATACATAATCAGAAATTTAATTCCTGTTTGCTGCAGTGATAATGATTAATTCTAACTGGATGCCTACATTTTCAGAAAGATGTGCCGGATGGGGTGAAAGAACTATCAGAAGGTTCAGAAGAAAGCAGTGATGGTCAGTCAGATTCCCAGAGCTCTGAGAACAGCAGCAGCAGCAGTGATGGTGGCAGCAACAAGGAGGGAAAAAAGAGCAGGTGGAAAAGGAAAGGTAAATCCACCTGACCCCTCACTAAAGTACTGAATGTTATAAGACAAATGCCTTTATTAGTAGTCCCTCTTTTCCCAGACTCCAGGTCAGCCAGTCTCTTTTCTTTTACCTTCTACAGCACAGTCCAACAGAATTTCCTGCAGTGATGAAAATGTTCTATCTCTATACCATCCAACATACCAAGATAGCCACTAGCCACACATGTCTATTGAGGACTTGAAATATGGATAGTATGACTGAGGAACTGAATTTTTAATTTTATTTTAACTTAAATAGCCACGTGTGGCTAGTGACTGCCACATTGGACACCATGACTATAGGTTTTACCTGGGTTTATTCTTAGCTCTTGGCCATCCATGTCCTTTTTTAGGATACTTTTATTTTATTTGCCTTTCTAATCCTCTCTTCTAAAATTTGAGCACTTATTGCTCTAACACAACTCTCTCTTTTCTGAAAAAAGAATGCTTTTCATTTCTAGTAGCAAAGACTAAGTTTAGTCTGTTGGTCTTTGCTGTCATCCCTTCTTGGTATTTGCCTAATAGCTCACCCAAAACACTTCCTTTAGGGAGTAATGTCCTTGTTATTGCAGCTTCCTTGGGATGGTCTTTCCAGTTTTATTGCCTATTTCTGCTAATTACTCTGTAGCTTCTTGTTAGAGTTTTCTTGAAGAAGGCAAATCTTCCTTGTCTTAAAATGTATAGATTTAGCTGTACGTAGCAAGGTAAGTTTTAAGTCAACTTATGATGGTTCCTTCACAAGAACTGACGTAGTGATAACCCAGAGCAAAATAGACATCCAAAATTTCCTCTAGCTTGGATTTTGTCTTAGTTTTGAGTTATAGGTGAACTGTTTTTGCACCTAGGAGCTAGGGTAATGTTTACTGGAATACTTGACTCATTAATTTTAAGTGCCTTTTGAAGTGTTGATAATGCTTGTGTCAGAAAAATAATTCTGATTAATTACCATCCCTACTTTAACATATATATATGCCATTCCTGGAGAGAATTGAAATAATTTGTGGCATCATCTGTGTTCTCTGTCTAGTGTAGCTACTACTCATGCAGTTTGGACAAACTTTGTAATCAGGGGATTTTAACTCTAAGATCACAACCAGTTAGAGAGCAACCCTGACCTCAGGTGTTAGGAACAAATGGCGTGAAGGCAAGACAAAGCTGGTGCCTCTGACCAGTATTGATGTACGTTTTAGAAGTGATCTCTGTCAGTAGTGGAAGGAGGAGTGATCCAGGGTCTTGCATTCCTCCAGGTTCACTAAGGACCTTTTTTGGAAGAAGGGAGCCAGAAGTGAGAAGGGCTCTGTCTCTCCTCTGCTTCTCCCCATTTTAAACTTTTCTTTTTAAGTTTGGAACTTGTTGATCAAAGATTAGGAACCAAGCCAAATCATCAGCCAAGGGAAGCAATTAGAAAGAATCATGCTCTAGATGGCGTTGCAAACAGGGAAATCAATATTAAAGGAGGTAGGTCTAATTACCTGGGCACAAAGTCATGGTCTTGGGATATACTAGGGAGTCCTCGCCTCTCAAGAGGTACCATATACTGCAGTAGCTGTTTTGAATAGTGACTGTTACATCTGTGTTTCTTCTGCTCAGAGCTAACAGTGATTAATAGCTGTCTCTAAGAATTTGAATAGATGTATTATGATACAGGAAGAACTATCAGTAGAACCATTGTCAGTAGCTTAGTAGGTAGATTTGAATAACATAACCTTGTCTTACACTTGGCATAATAATGGAGGACATTAACAGCAAGCTAATAGCAAATTCAAAATTGTGGTCCAAGTCAATTGTTTTTGAACTGACTTTGATTCATTCCTCTTCTGGAAATTGTTACAGTATTGAATATTCATCCTCAGTTTATATTAAGAAAAGACGTTCTGTAAACTTCTTTTCTGGTTATGGGTAGTCTATTTTAATTTTATCCAGATAAACTGAGAATACCATTCTCGAATGGGGCAGTTTGGAAGGTGGGGATGAGAGGTACACTTTGATGTCTCATGTAATTCATGATTACTTGAAACCAAAACCAAACCCATTACGATCGAGTAAATTCTGACTTATAACGACCCTGTGGGACAGAATAGGGTTTCCAAGGCTGTAATCTTTAGGGAAGCAGACTGCCACATCTTTCTCCTGCGAAGTGGCTGGTGGCTTCAAACCACCAACCTTTTGGTTCGTAGCCGAGAGCTAAACCACTGCACCCCCAGGGCTCCTATGTTTACTTTAGCAGATCTAATATCCTCAAGAAATGGATAAATTCTAAGCTACTGATTATGAATGATTTAGTCTTTTGTAGAATGTGCATCTCTCATTCATGTCATACACATGGTATATGGCATAGCTATCATGTAAATTTTTAGGTATATATTACATATTTATGAATTCTCTTTAAACACTGTAAAGTGAAAATGTGTATTCAGCACTGATAGTAGTAGCATGCAGTGTTTGGCTTGCAGAGCAGTTCTAAATCAGTTGCAGTTATCAATAAAGGTAGAGCAAACTAATTGTGCCTATTCCTTTTTCTTATTTAGGGCTTTTACTCTCATTCTGACATCACTTTATTTCAAATGCATTGTAAGACAGGAAGCACATTGAGATAGTATCAAAACCCACTTCCTTTTATGTACAAAAATAAAGAGCTCAGACAGCAAAACTGATACTTCTAGTTAAAAATCGATGGAAGCTTTCTTGATAGCTATATGTTTCTGCCAGTTAGGAACAGCGAACTGACTTTGAAATTCGGTCCAGTATTAAAACTAGTTTCTTGATTTCTATGTAAAGTGAAAGAACTTAGAAGTTTGCAGTTTTGGTTCCTAAATTTTCAGACAGGAAACAATGTTCAGAGGGGAGCTGTATGGAATTCCAAGCCAAGGTAAGATGGAGTAACTCCAGACAAATGACTATTAAAATCAGCTATTTCTGTTGTTTTCCTGTAGAATCAGAGATAAGTGACGGCTCTGCCTTTTCCCCAAAATAAAACATAAATAATTACAGCGTGAAGCAGCTGCAGAAGTACTGTTTTTATCTTCTGATACAGAAAAGTTCTGTTAGATTTTGGTCTGCTTTTAAAGTGTTTGAGGAGTAAAATTAATTATGTGAACTATACCTTTTCATCTCTAAGGAATTACCAGTTACTTCCTGGAGCATGAACTAATATAAATTTTACTGCTTATTCAGAACTAGTTTAAATCAGGAATTTGAAGCATATTGTGTCTGAAGTTACTTAAAATATCATAGACCCGCCTACCTGTAAAAAGCATTGTATATATGCTAATATACTGAGCAGGGGTGATTATGTATAGTAATGTCGCATTTAAAAAGTATAGTGGGTGGAAAAGTTAACATATGTGGGGAGAGACCTTTGGGAGATGTTCTTTTCTTCTCTGCGGTTGGCTGTTGGTGGCTGGGTTGGAGATTTTTAGCTCTTTCGTATTAAAGAAGATGGTATGCTGTTAGGACTTAGATAGTCAAGGTATCCAGAAGGAAGGAAGGTGTTCTGGTTCTCATCTTTGAGCAGGGGACTGTTTGAATATATTCAAGAACCACAGCCTGTCCAGTTTGGAGTAGACTGCCCTTGATACGTGAAGAAAAGGCTTAGAGCTAAAAAGGGTCCACAACCTCTAGAAATGAAATTTCTATAAAGACTATTGCTGGAATAAAAACTCTCCCTTAAGACAAGAATTACTGTTGTTGAAGATTACAACTGAAGTTTCCAAAATTCATCAGTCCTTCAACTATCAGTCTTTTGACAGTGAAGTTTCCATTCTGACATTACTCCCCAAATGTTTCTGATAGTCTCTCTGCTACTTCAGAGGGACCCATTGAATGTCTTCAGGTGAAAATAAAAATTTCAGTCAGAGATTATTTACTAAAGATTTTAACTCAAGTGCATCTAATGTTAATAGTCCACATCCTTTTGAACTGATTCAGTGTAATAATCATCTGTTGAAATGGAAAATTCTCAGTGTTATAAAATATCTGAAAAATAGTTCCTTCTGAACTGATACTCAGTAGATGGAACATAAATATCCAACAACCTGGAAATACTTCAGTTGACTATGTAAAACTGGCTTTGATGAGTTTCAAGTTCTAAAATTTGTTTTAAATGTTCTTTTTTTCTTTTTCCTGAAATCACTTAATTTTAAGCTTTAAAAAAAATACACTAGGTTACTGTGTTCCTTTTATGATGTTGGCTTTGGTTTTTTAAATCAAATAATGAGTAGCTGCTGATCTTTTGGTCAGAATTTGTTAATCATTGGTTGTGTGTGCATGTATGAAAGCAAGCATTTTGTTTCTAAACAGATAAAAATGTTCTTAAATAAGAGTGCTTTTAATCTGTTGCCCATTCCACATTGGATTATGATATAATTGATTATGATATAACCTTGAGGAGTATTATTTCGACCGTTAGTTTACTTACAATACCAAAGTAGTATTGTGTTGTTGTTAGGTGCTGTCGAGTCAGTTCTGACTCATAGCGACCCTATGTACAACAGAACGAAACACTGCCTGGTCCTGCGCCATCCTCACAATTGTTGCTATGTTTGAGCCCATTGTTGGCAGCCACTGTGTCAGTCCATCTCATTGAGGGTCTTGCTCTTTTTTGCTGACCCTCTACTTTACCAAGCATGATGTCCTCCTCCAGGGACTGATCCCTCCTGATAACATGTCCAGAGTATGTGAGATACAGTCTCGACATCCTTGCTTCTAAGAAGTATTCTGGCTATATTTCTTCTAAGACAAATTTGTTCATTCTTTTGGCAGTCCATGGTTGTCTTAGGCTGGGTTCTCTAGAGAAGCAAAACCAATAAAGTGTGTAAATATGTATATATAGAGAGAGATTATATCAAGGAAACAGCTCATGTGATTGTAGAGGCTAGAATGTCCCAAGTCCGTGGATCAGGGTGGAGGCCTCTCCCAAGTCACACAGCTGCAGAAGCTGGCAAGCCCAAGATCAGCAGGTCGGAGAGCAGGGTTCCCACTCACAGGCTGTGCAGCTCAACGAATCCCAGGTTCGGCAGATAAGCTGACAGCTCAAGTCCCAAGAATGGGAGATGAGACGACAGGAAGCAGCCGCAGGATCCAGAGAGAGCAAGAAGCCAGAACGTCTGCTGATATACAGATACGGGCTACACCTCCAAGGAGACTCCCCTTCATCTGATTGGCTACTCACAGTATATTCAGTCATGGGAGTGATTACATTAAAACACTGAGAATCACGGCCCAGCCAAGTTGACACACAATCCCAACTATCATAGTCCACCCTTTGGCAACCAAAAATTCATATCCTTGCAACACGCAAAATATACTCATCTCATCATATCATAGCAAAAGTCTTAACTCCAAGTCCAAATTCCAGAAATTCCTCTTCATCTGTGAAATCTGGAATACAAGATATCTGCTTCCAAAGTTACAGTGGCAGAACAGGCACAAGCTAGGCATTTCCATTACAAATGGGAGAAACTGGAGGAGAAGAAGGGGTAACAGGCACCAGGCAAGTCAGCAGAACACATTATGTTAGCCCTCAAGGCTTTGAAAAGAATCCTCTGTTCTCTGAGACAGTTTACACAATAGCCCTGCCCTCCAGACTCTAGGTATTGGCCACAGTCTCCGGATTCTGAGTGGAGGCCCCTCGGCCCTGGGCTTCAGCTCCACCTTCCAGGCCCACTGGGACGGCAACTCTGCTCCCTGGGCTTTAGGTGCACCATTCTCATAGTCCATCGGAGTGACAACTCCACCCATAGAAACACCAGGGGCCATGGCTCCACCCTTTGAAACCCCAGAGGTCTTGGCCATACCTTTTGAGACTGAGGCGGCTTGGCTTCTTGTGTTCCTTGTCTCTTCAGCTTCTGCTTCCTGTGGCCTCTTGGCCCTCGGGCCTCACGCCCGCATCTGCCCTACTAGTGCAAGTGTTCCAAAGCTCAGTAGCTCCACCGATTAAGTGCCTGGCGGCACCCCACTCTTCCAGGAAGCCTCCTGCACACAGGCACTCAGCTCCCTCGCTCTGGGTCAGCAAGCCTAACTCCACCGATAAGTGCCCGAAGGCCCCCACTCCGCCAGGAAGCCTCCGGCGCACAGGCACTCAGCTCTCTTGCTCCGTGGGTCGGCTCCAGCACCATCTCGGGCTGGTCTCCTGGTCCTGCTGCTGCTGGTTCTCTGTTGCTGCCCCTTCTGTGCTGCTGCAGGTTCTCTGCCGCTGCCACACCTCTATTCATTCACAGTTTCAAAACCTCATACCACCAAGAAAGCAGTGCAGGGAGCAGAGCGCGTCCTTTGGACCTGAGGTTCCTGCGCAGAGAAGCTCCCAGACCAAAGGAAGATTAATGACATGGACCTTCCTCCAGAGCCGACGGAGAAAGCGTTCCCCTGGAGCTGACGCCCTGAATTTGGACTTGTAGCCTACTGGACTGTGAAGAAATAAACTTCTCTTTGTTAAAGCCATCCACTTGTGGTATTTCTGTTGGAGCAGCACTAGATGACTAAAACAATGGTATATTCAGTACTCTTCACCAACATGAGTCTATTTAAATATACCTTATATATTTAAATATATGAGTCTATTTAAATATACCTTTATTCAACTACTTGCCACATTCATTCTTTCTCCAGTATGCACAATTTGTCAATTTTTTGGGGAACAAATTTATAAGGTGTGGACCCTACCCTTAAAGTTCTCTCAGCATATCTAGAGGTATGGAAAGATAAGGAGATAATTAGCAAATTACTTAATAGGTTACATGTGTTTATATTTATCATATTATGGCAGCATGACGGGGGGGGGGGAGTAGTCAGCTTTACCATATTTGCTAAATATTGAATGAACTACAGAAAATTCTAAGATACAGTCCTTTCCTTGAAGAGTTTAATCACTAGGGAAGATGGGATGTATCATGGAAAGATGACATATATAAAGGCAGGAAGATGGGAATGTGTTTGGTGTTTTCAGAAAGCCAAAGGAAGATAATTTTGGATGGAAGAGGGAATTTGTGGAGGGAATGAGGTTGAGATCAAACTGTTAATCTTTAGTGCTAGTCCCATTATTTATAGGTTATTGGTGTGCACAGAGTAGTGTTTTAAGGAAATTAGAGTGTGTACTATGGATTGGAAACCCTGGTGGCGTAGTGGTTAAATGCTAGAGCTGCTAACCAAAAGGTCTGTAGTTGGAATCCACCAGGTGCTCCTTAGAAACTCTATGGAGCAGTTCTGCACTGTCTTATAGGGTCGCTATGAGTCGGAATCAACTCAACGGCAATGGATTTTGGTTTTACTATGGATTGGAGAAGGGAGAGAGTGGTAATAATGGTGACTGTCCCAATATTCATAACTGCATACCAAGAGGAATATGATTATTGTTTATAGACCTTTTCTGATTGACTTCATCTTCTTGTCCATTTAGCATCTGAGTTAATATACTGGCATCTTTGATTTGTTTTTCTACTCATCATATTTAAGTTAGTATAATTGATTTCTAGTCACTGGTATATAGATTAAAACAATTCATTTCCATTCTGCTGTTGAAAATCATGCTGTGGGTAGTATATTTCCTTGGTGTAGGGTGACATTTAAAGTATACAGTAAAACTAATAATAAGGAAGCGTGAGTGATTATTTTTCTATAAGTGCCGCTTAACCAATAAGAAAACATTATAAATAAGGCCTTAATGTAGTTAAAATGCAGTTTCAATGTCCATTTTTCCAACAAGGTTTTATTTTTATATGTTTATGCATTTTAAGATGTAGTCCTAGAAAACCTTGTCTGTGAACCTCATTTGAATAGCAGTGGTTTCGATGGACCATATTTGAATAGCAGTGGCTTAAATGGTTTGTCAGCCTTAAGAAGTATTGGAAATGCTGTTTTTCTTTTTTAAACAAA